TTGCTTGTTTGCCGTCTAACTTATCAACCTTCGATTACAATTGTTCTTGTCACAGCTGACAATTTAGTTCTCATCTCATAAAAACTGTTGTGCCACTAATATTAATTTACATTGGCAACTATATTGTCATGCTTTTTTCAATCCAGACATAATTATTCTTATTGAAAGTTCTATAGTACATGTTATTATCATAGAATACAAATGATAAACTGATAAATATTAAGAACTATGACAAACTTATAAGTAATTTGAAGAATGTATGAAATACACATATACTGATTGACAACGTATAAATACATAATGAAATTGTACATTTTACATGGTAAAAAGCATCAATCACAGGTGAGTTTGAAAGACTGTATACACACAAACGGTTAGTTATTCTATATCACATATTATTCAGAGTGGTTTATATGTACGCAGACAATTTAAATAAACTAAAAATCCATAAAAACCATTGTGAAACTTTTCGTTAAAATTCAGACGAAAATTCTTACAAAGCCGTAATAGTGATAATAATAATAATAATAATAATAATAATAATAATAATAATAATAATAATAATAATAATAATAATAATAATAAAGTAAAAAATATCAGCTACCATTAAAATTTTACCAATTTACCGAAGATGATTTCGTTGTAAAATTAACTGCAGTGAATTATTTTAATTGACCAGTAAACATGCAAAAAGTAAACTTATTCACAGAGAACTGTTAGTAATTATAATAATACAACAACTCATGTTTACCCTCATGAGCAGCGCTATGAACAGTAATTATTGTGTTAACTCTGATGACAGTATGTTACAATGAAAACCTTGATAGGTAGTAGATAGTCAAATTGCATACCCTAATGAGTTACAACGATGTAAATACCCACTTATACGCTCTATGTATGGAGTGCTCAATTCAAAGATACTCTTAACCATTAAAGTAATGTATTCGAGTGATAAGCTAAAGACTGATGAACACAAATAATCATTTGTTATTAAAATACAACTTGTAATACATAATCGTATATATATATATATATATATATATATATATATATATATATATATATATATATATACCAAAACTTTCAGTGCTTTGGTTGACTGTAATACGCTTGAAGCAGAAAAACACAGGCCAACAACTCAAGTATACGTTGGTTAAAATAGTTCAGTAAAAAGTATAAATGGATACAGCCCTAAAACTGTATTTTTTAACGATAAAAATAATTCAAAAATTATACAGAGCATAAAGTAATAACTTCTCAACGTTAGACGAATTACCAGACCATAAGTTCTTTATTATAAAGAAATTAGCTAACAGTTTATTGCAAAAAAAACAAAAAATATGACATTTTGAGGTCATTTGTATGTTGTGTGAAATAATGGTATTATTTATCATTACTATTACTATTAATCCTAGTAGTAGTAATGAGAGCATCAGTGGTGGTAATAGTAGATCAATGTCCTCAGATAATAGTGAAAAAAAATCTTTACAATACCCGAATTTTACTTATTAAATCTAAGTAACTACCGATTAGCGTGCATACAGACAGATGATTTTTGAATTGTCGTGGGAATTATTTCAATGAAGAGCCTTGATATTACTTCTTAGTTAACAATGTAAATAACAGCATTTTGCAAACAATAGTTAAGATGTTCTCGAAAAGAAGAAAAAAGACATTATATAATCCTAAGAAACTGTTGAAATTAGTTTGTTACAAAGTTATGTGAAATTCCCTTTACTCCTTCCATAAATATTATCATCATCTTTTATTAATTAGGATAGAGTATAATTGATACGATATGTACAGTATACAAACTTTTATGAAATTCAACACATACTTTTCTTGAATAATTCACTTACTAAGTACTTCGATGTGAGTAGTACTTTAAGTGTAAAGGCTAATGATACTACCCGACTGGACGAAATGAAGTAGGACGTCTTAACTACTAAGCCACCGCGTAAAGATTGGGCGTTGCGTAGTAACCAGTAATGGTAATTCCAATTAACGAAGTTTTCGCCTCGATTTCAGCACACTTTGCAATATAATACGATATTGTTAACCAACATAAATCCTAACTAAAACCAGATCTAGTTCATTTAATAAAGCTGTACAATTACATTTATGGTGGCTTAATAAATGAGTCAATAGATGATTAGAAAGAGGTCGCTTCAAAAAAAACCTTCTGCTTTGAATGACCTTTATAATTTATTCAGTAATGCAATGGGTTTTTTTTAAATTTATTTTGCTTGAAGGCTTTATTACTGTAACCTCAGTCAGTCAGTCAGTAACAACGTAGAACTTCGTACGTACGTACATCAGTTCGAGTTGCCACACCAGTTGTCGATTCAAATCCCGTAGTGGTAGAGGTAATAAGAGTATAAGCAGTAATCGGGAAGATTAGGGTTTGGAGATGTTATTTAAAGAGTATAATCCAGTGAAATAAATTTGGAAAGAGGGAAAAAGGGACATGAAGAATTCAGAAGATTAGAATTTGGGAGAACACCAAGAGTGGATGCACCTGTGCCATTGCAAACGATTTTGAGCCATGTCATTCAGGGTCTCTAACCATCGGTTGCTATCATCTCGTGGTCCCCAACCAGGTAGTCTACACCTACCAACATGGCTCAGTCCACTTGTCAGTGACTTCATGGACTTGTGCCATGTTTCAGTCTGGTCATCCCTAGCTTTCTTCCAACCTACTCCTATACAACTGGACATCGCACGTCGAGGCAGTTGGTGGTTGGGCATACGTAACACGTGTCCCAGCCATCTCAACTGATGAAGTTTCACTACTTCATCAATTGATTTGCCATCCTTACCTAGTACCCGTTTCCTAACAACTGTGTTACTTACTCGATAGTCCCATGATATACAAGCAATGTTTCGAAGACACCTATGATCGAATACTAGTAACCTACTGTTATAATCCTGCTTCTTCTTACGGTTATGACCCAGCTATTCCTATTGCTTAGTATTCTCGGACACCGATTCACTCGACAAGTCCCCAAATCAAAACACGGTTGAACAGGAAAGAGATTATATTCCAAATAGCAAGTCAGAAGCCAGTAGGAAGCACAATAGGGGAAAACGTCGGTATATTTATAGTTTTTACATAAGGAGATTCCAAAATATTCTCCGACTATCGACTAGTGCTGATTGGATAAGAATCAGCCAATCAGCGTGCACCAAAACAATCATGCATTGAGCATGCTTTAATCTAGTCTATGTCCCGCTAACACCTACGAATATCCTCTACTCTTATCGGCCATGTTTCACTGCCATAAAGTAGGACGGGACGAACTGCTGCGCAGTAAACACGTCCTTTGGTTGATAGACGGATATCTCGCCTACGCCACAAATGACGCAAGTTGGCAAAAGCTAGTCGAGCCTTCTGTATCCGTGCTGAGATTTCGTCACACACCAGACGACAAGGGCTGATGAGACTTCCAAGATAAGTGAAGCGGTCGACACACTCAACTGCTTCACTCCCTATCACTAGTTCGGGTGTCGATGTAACCCAATCCTGAAGCAACATTTTGCATTTCGAGGGAGAGAATCGCATCCCGAACATGCTTTCATTGTTGCTTAGAGTGGTCAGAAGACTGCATTTTGTCAGTCTTCTGTAACCTAGAGAACAACTGTCTATATATATATATATATATATATATATATATATATATATATATATATATATATATATATATATATATATATATATACTTGGGAGCACTGGTAGGAAGTTTCTGTTACAACTAATTAGTTTGAGAGAAAATAATAATCAATTTAATTGAATCACTAAACAGTCAAGACGCATTCATGTATTACCAGTACAGTAGCATTGAATTGAACTATGTGCCACATGAAAACAACGGTGAAGAGTTTTAGAATAAAATAAAGGAATTTCTCATTTTTAAAACATCCATCATTCCCGACACAAGCGTTAAAAAATGTTCTGTCTCTTAATAAAAAGTGACCATAACTTTTTATATTGAACATCACGAATATACATATACATAGATGTATTTACAAAATGCAAAAATACTTATTTTTTCATTTTCAAATTCTACATTTCTTGTTGACTTTAGTGTAAACACCGGCCGATTTGGTAGATTGAAAAGTTCTAGGCAATGGAGAAAGTATTTACATGGTCTTATTTGTGTTCACTATAGTTAAATAGTTTGCATACTACGATCATATATAAAGTAGCAAATCCAGACTGTTTTTTTCAATAGCACATTTTTTAAATGAATGCAGACAAAAGTTGCGGACAGTAGTCAGGCAATTTATGAAATAGGTATACAAGTGAAGAGAATGCAATTTTCAAAAAACGACGTCTGGAAGGTTATTTCCAAAAATGTCATTGACTATGCTAGACAAAAAGGTGTTACACATTGAAATAAACTAGATTTGAGGTCTAAGATTTCCGTATAGCATTTTTCATTCGAAACCAATATCAACCAGCTACTATGTGCAAACTCATATACGAAATTAAATGAATTTCATTGGACTTAGAATATAAATCTTTCTGTGCTACTCGGTTTCTTAAACTTCATCAGCTGAAGCAAGGTTTGAACTGTCAGTCATAAGACTGAAGGTTCAGACCCCATCAAACCTAACTCAGTTTGAGGAGTTGGGAAATTTCACAAACTAATACACATGACTCAAAGCGAAGCATACGAACTAGAGATTGACAAGTAGGTTACAATAATTCACTGTCTATGCCAGGTTAGTGAGTCTTTAAAGTTATTTGCGATGAAATTGTTGATAAGTGTTAGGAAAATACCTGACTGAAAACCAAAACTATAAAACTCCGTAGTCATAACGCAATCAGTAGGTTTTTTTACATGGTTACAAAGTTATCGATAGATTTACCAAACTAATTACAAAGCGTATTATTTGCTAACTTTGCTTAAAACAACTAAAACAGTAAATTCCAAGTGCAAATATCTCACTAACCAAGAAAATAGTTACTGAAAAAACACAATCACTTAAAGACTTACAGGATCAGAATGTGGTATGTTTGTATTTGAAGTTCCAATAGAATATGTAGAATTTGCATTGCCACTTCCTGAGGCTGCACTATCCACGGAAATAAGACTTGATTCACGACTACCCAAATGAGCGACATTACCACGTGCGGGGGACAAAAGGGATGGACAATTACTTCCCCCACTGCCACTATGTGAACTGGCTCCACATAGAGAAATATCAGCACTGTCACATACAGAATTGCATCGGCCGACCGTTTCTAAGTCACGACAAATTTGATATGGTGACATCATGTCGGCACCATGACGACCAGACTCCGTATCGCTTGAATTGACATAGCTTCGATTACCGTTAGTCATGAGCAAACCTCCTAAAACTTCATTTATATTGTTCATCTTATCTCCACTATCTGGTACGAAAACTGACATGATTTTACTGCTACCTCGAGAAGAAGCAGAAAAATCACGTCGTCCCATCCTCAGTACAATAGACTCTACGTCCTCAACCAACTGATCTGGAAACTCAGTTTCTTTTGTTAGGGTCTTAATAAGTTCATCCATAGTGGCTATTTCATGTAACATGCTTGACTGACACTCCTAAGGCAAAAAGAAAGTGACACTTTTAAATTGTGAGATATCAACTAAAAATTTAACAATTGATATTTGAAAACTGACCGCTGCACTTTCATAAAAAGTTTCACATTTTCTTATGTTTTATAAAAAACCCTGGTACATTACACTAACCGCATGCCAGGTGTAGGTTGAAGGTTTAAACACCTTTCCATTCGCTAACGCTATGACATATGAGTAGTATTAACGCTATCGAGAAGTGTAGTTTGTAGCTTAGCAGGGAGGCTTGTAAACTATTACTAGCTTGTATTTTTACCTACTTACAAGACGAAATTGTTCTGAGAAGTACACCCATCTCATGCAACCAGCAGAACATTAAACTAACAGAAATAATACGCATAATTTCTAAGTAAATTTTTATTACGTACAGTAAAATAGTTTTCAATATTTCTCAACAAAAAGCATTACTTAATTTAGATGATGATAAACAGGAAGAGGTATACACACCAGCTACTAATCACAACTTGACACAAATATTCATCAGTCAGTTACCTTGTTCAGTCATTTGAAACAGGACTATGAGAAATTTGTGCTTAAGTATACAAAAGCAAACAGGAAAATTAAAACAGAAGCATTATTCGTACGTATTTAAGTTATGCATTGGTTAATACTTAAAGCATACATAAACATATAAGACGACCGTTCTGGAGATGGTTTAATTCTTCCTTATTATCTTAGGAAAACTCGGAATAAGCCTGCATTAGTATAATATTCCTTGTTAGTATTCTTCAAACACCTACATATTTTAAACACAATCCAAATTTTTAGCGATAGTAATTGTTAAAATCCAATATTATTCTAAATTTCTAACTATTTATAAATGTATGAATGAAAATATACGTTCTAATCGACCAACCGTCTAGATTTACATTTTCTTTCATTTATCGGTCAGAGAATGTCACGATTGAGACTGAGTTATTCACGGACAAAATAACATGAACATTGCAAAACAACATAAATATTGTCACTACTGACTCTAGATCGATGGAATTCCACTTACAAGAATTGGAAGAAGGCAAGAGACGAAAAAACAAAACCGGCTTCGTTCCTCAAGTAACAATAAACGCATCGCAGATTTCTCTGTATTTTCGACTAATTCCTTCTTGATTCCGACTTCACGTGCAGCCTTAGCAGTTTGTAAACTAATTGCATTTGATTCAGAATTGGAGCATATGTATTTTGCAGGAGGTATAATACCATGGCCTACACCGGGTCCCACACTACTACCACCAGTAACACCAACTTTAGCGGCCTTCTTCTCCCACTTTTGTGCTTCAGAAAGGGCTTTCTTCAATTCCGCACGCACTCTTTTAGTTTGACGAGTTCGGTCTTTTTCTAACTGACACAGATTACGTTTCCACTCATCTACTTTCGAATTGAGAGGGTTGGCAAGACTAGTGACCAGATGACTAAAATACGGAAGATTAGAGAAAAATATGATAGGTATGTAAGAATAATAACGCTATCGTCCTACGGTCTAACTGTAACACAAATTTCTATTAAGACAAAAGGTTGAAAGAAGAAACTCAGTGATTGCATATCCTTTGTATACGGCAGAGTAAAATAGTTCAAGGTCAATGAGTCAGAAATTTTGTCTGGAAACACATACGTTCATTTGTAGACTGTGCTTGTACTATGCTCGGAAGAGCTGCAGCCTATACCGGAATATTACCGTTCTATGTACTGATATACACGTTAAGCAAGTGCACAACCTTATCCACCGATTAGATGTCCCTATTAATTGTTTCTAGACCAGTAATTTAATTTAATCAGTCCCTGGAAGGAGGTCAATTTACCGGCCGAGAATAGATAAACCTAATAATTTGAAGAGTGAGCAAATATCTACTTATGAGTGTTTGTCCGTGCAAAGAAAATTTGCAGCATATTATTAGGAGGTATGTAGTAAAATGGTACGGATTGACAGACCACGGCGTTTTGAAAATAGTTAGACTGGAAGACAATCTCTACAATCCTACTACTAAAACAATCATATTAAGCATTGACTAAAGTTCCATAACGTGCAACCATACCATCGAGATTAAGGAATCACTGGGATTTAAACCAAGAACCTCAGGCCATGATGGAAAAACATTTCTGGCAAATCAGGGCTGTAAATAGTAATCATAAGTTTAAATGTACAATGCTATAAATTAATTTTTCCACACCAAAAGAGCATTTGGATAAAGATAAATACATGACGGGCTGAACCATGCTTACTTTCCCATGGATTTTACTTTGGATTCTAGGCTTTTTTGACGCATACAATAACGGGTCAGACACGCACCGATTTCTTTGCTGCCTCCAAGCGTCTTTGTAGCCAGATCCGCCACTTTTTGAAATGTATCCAAAAATGCAGATGACGCCTGAGTCGCAACTCTAGAAAGTATGCTTAGAAATAAGAAATTTTACTTTAAAGCTGAATGGAATTTGGTACATTTTGAAATTAGCTCTTCCCAGATCTGATAGCTATTCTGTAAACAAATAATGAATACGATGCACGATTGGAACCTTTAAATCATTTAGCAAGTAATTTGCGATATTGACAACATCTCCACCGTGTCCTTGCGAAATATCCATCAATTCTTAATCGATATAAGTATGCGTAGGCTATACTTTCATAGGCAAGTAAACCATTCTATGAGCGGCTCTCAAGTAAAGCGGCAAATGCACATGTGACCTACAAAAATGGTCAACGATGTGTTTTAAAAACCATCAACGACCTAGTCCATTTTCATAGATCGACTACTTAACTACATTTATTACTTTTCTTAAAACCAACTCGTATTTCGTTCATTTGGTTACGTGAACTATAGTTTACTAGATCCAAGTCGGTGTGAGTGCGATTAGCCTTCAGTCTTCAATAATAAGGATAGGAGGTCTATCGACCTATATTAATCCTTGAAATTTGTAATACTGTGAAGGTCCAATTTCGTTTTGAATATATCCACGGAAGGTGCTGATGTTACGTGTTCCGGTAGAGAATTCCAGTAATTAACTACTCGGTGAGAGAAACGAAATTCCAGACGTAAACGATTTGATCTCGGTGTTTGAACTTTCTTCGAATGTCCTCTTAAATGATCCGTCCTAGAAGGAGGCAAAAGATAATACCAGGGTCATCGTTCAGGATGTGATAAGCCAATATTAGATGACCCCGTATTCTGCGGTAAGATAACGGAAATAAGTTGAAGTGTCGCAATCTGTCTTCATAAGATAGGCCAGATGGACCTTTTACCATATTAGTGCCTTATCGTTGAACTTTTTCCAGCATATCTGCTTCATAATTAAAACAAGGACTCGCTGCTTGAATCCCATGTTCCAAATGTGGTCACACATAAATATCGGGTATAACAGTCTAAACATTTCACATCTAAGTACTGGAAAGACCTACGAATAAACCATAACACCCTATAATCTTTCGCCCTACTTAGATCTATGAAGATCACATCTACAGGAATATTCCGGTCTTTTGCCGCAGCCTAATCTTTGCTTGCGCTAGTTAAGCTAACGGGTCTATAGTTACTAACTAAATCCCTACTCCCAGCATTATACACCGGACTTATTATAGCGTCTTTCCCGTCTCTGGACAGTCTGGACTGCTACAGAGACATGTCGAACAGTGTCGCCAAAGGTTCAGCAATTACATCTTATATGGCTTTCATAATCCTAGGATGAATATCATCAAGACCACTATACTTATAGGGTTTGAAATGCTGAAGTAGCTTTAAGACAGTACCTTTCTCAATGACTACAGGGTCCGTCAACTAGCCACTACAATCACAATGAATCGTTGACCGTTCTTCATTACTGATAGAAAAATACTTTACTGAAATATTCTGATAAAGCTTCAGCTTTTTAGGTGTCGTTTCTCGCCAAGATTAACGGAGTCCCTTGTATCAAAAGTGGTGGAATTCCATCGCTTCTCTGGGTCTGCCTTTTTATATGCGAGAATAACCGTCTCGGTCTATATCTACAACCCCTAACCAATTGTTTTTCATATAGTTGTCTAGTCTTACGTGATAACGCTTTACAGGCATTTCTAACCTTACAATAACTGGATCTGTATTGTTCTAAGCTAGTAGAGATGAACATAATCCGGTGCATTTTCCTTCTTCTAAGAAGTTTCCTGACTGGTTTAGTTATCTGTGGTGGACTGTTATTCGGTCATCGCGGTACCAGGTACAGCATGAACGAGGTCGTAACTATACTTAACCTACCTTCAAATACAGACCATGCTTCTTCAACTGATAGGCTAGTATCTACAGACCAATGTCTTAGCAACTCACTGCTGAATAGCTGATATGTTAGCTCTCCATACATTTGGGTGGGGTGTAACTAGATCATATATCACGCCCCTAGTTCTAAACGCGAATGACAAAACAGCGTGATCGCTATTCACAAACGGTGGAAGAATATTTAGGTCGACAATATCCTCAGTTTCATGAGTGATTACCAAGTCCAACAGAGAACCTTGGTTTGCACCAAAACGTGTGGTTTCGGATACATGCTGTACCAATGCATGCTCCATTATGGTTATCAGGAACCTACTATCAAATTAGTCTATAAATCCTTCCGTGGTCACCTCAATCCAACTAATATCAGGTGCATTAAAGTCTCTTATTATCAAGTATCTGTTATTTGCACTCCAAAGTTGAGTGTGCTCTAAAATAAGGTCATCAGATAAGCAAATTGGGCTGCGATAGATGACATCGAGCATAAATGTACTACATCCGATAGCCAATTCACAGCTGATGACTTCGCAAGTACCGCTATCGTGGGATTCGCTAGCAGAGGAGCGGATGTTTATATTATTGGTTATATATAAGGGGGGACACCTCTTTTTCTACATTTATGTCGATCACTCCTTAGGTAGTGGTATCCGGATAATTCTGAAGTTGTCTAAATCATGGACCAACCAAGTTTCCGTCACTGCTACAATGATTGACCTTAATTCTTCCACTATTGCTTCTAGTTCATAGAATTTATTACCTAGACTACGAGCATTAGTATATAAAACTCCAAGGTAGAACGGCCTATCCACACAGGCTTTAGTAGCATTCATTACCAAGAACTGACCATCCGAAAACCCACTAAACGGAGATTTCCCTCACAGTTTAGTCGACGAATTTCTAGGTCAGTTAGTGCCTTCTTCCTTTTTATTCTATCTTCAAGAGACATATCAGGCCTAACTGGGATACCGGAATCGTCGCGACTAAGAGCGCTACATAACAATAGATCACGTTGCTTTTTCGTGCCTTAAGGTAACCCTCGTGCTATTGATAGAAGAAACCAGAGAAGTAGTGAATAGGTCTTTATTTCGATCTTCGCGCAGTCGCAGAGGAGAGTGGGATTATCTGTTCAGACAAACAAAGGCTCTCAACATTCAAGATAATAGGGAATATAACGCTTATGAAAAATAAGGAAGTGAATGAATACTTGAACAATACTGTTTTGGCATAAGCTTGGTTGTTTGGGGTCAACTCTTAACCAACCAACCTGAGCTGTTACATTAGCTTCCCCCTAGAATCGACTTCCGTAGGAACGTCGGTTCGATTAACCTATCTATCGAAAACACCTTAGTTCTATTTCTCATCCCAAGGGAAAATTATCAACTCGCTCACTATTTGACTTACAATCAGTGACGACTAACGCTGTCAACGATAGTCCATGGATGTCTCCTCATTTACTAGCTTGTCATCTTATTTTGTAGCATGTGATCTATTCTACAACTATCGCTGACGGTTTACTGCGTGCTTTCAAGAGAAAGAGTGTGAGAATGTGGAATAAGAATATCTGAGGAAGTGCCGCGAGCGGGCTACCCAACACCATGTTGGTGAGGTACGATTTTTCCATGCTCAGACCGGCTATCAGGTGTTTACTCACCTGCCTCTTTAGTCGCCCTCAAGTAAAAAGTAAAGAAGAATCTACTTCGAAGGTAATGGTGAAAACCAATCACACCTGAAGAACTGCTCCACTGCCTGCATAAAAATAATAAGATACAAAATGGAAATACAAAAATATAATTTATAATTGTTCGGTTCCACGTAAGTGATTGGCCTCCAGAAAGGATTGGTATTCTGGAAGAAAATAGACACAGTGTAGCCATCTTATGTACGAAAAGGTATGGACACAAAAAAAATACTTTTTTATAATGCATATATGTAAAAGTGTAAACTTGCTAGAAGTTGGACTCATTGTCAAACCCGATCAAATGTATGACCTTGGGCCTATGACGACCGCCTTTTATAACCAGGTACGTAACCAAGGGTACATAGTTGTACTCCACAAAACGGAAAAGAATATACGGTTAAGGAGGAGAAAAAATTTGTGTAGATTATGAGGATTAAGTACAATTGTGTCAAATACTCTTTTCTGGTTTGATCTAAGTATGTATGATATATTGAAACAATATTTCGTCAATTCATCCAAGTAACGAATTTGTCTGCACCTTAAAATGTGTAAGTCCTATTACTCATTAGTATTATATACGATTAATCGGTAAAAGGAAAGATTGCAGTCATTCGCCCGTGGTTTGATGTGGTCTAATGGCTAGGCACACGGTCTAGCATCCGAGAGGGCAGAGGTTCGAGTGCGTGTGGGGCTAGCGTTTTCGTTCACCAAAACCCCCTTCAATACGATGTTTGTTGGCCATATGTTGCTCAGATATGAGAGAAAGATAACAGGAGGACGGATTGATATGTCAAAGTGCCATATTGGAATAGTACAAGTTCTTTGTTTTTATTAATAATAATGCTATAGAAAAAAAAACTACAAGTGTGGTAGATTTCCATTTTACGTTATAATTAAACCAACGAGAGAAAAAAAAGGTATATATATATATATAAGTTATTGACATAACATGTTTTTTTATAACGCTAGTGTTAAGTTCCAGGATTTTGTATGGACCACTAATAATAATTGGTTTAACGTTAGCATAGCTGTGATATTCATATTAGTTCAATGTTGTGATTACTTAACAGTTCCCTTATAAGTTGTGTTTAAAATTAGGTATGTGGAATCAATGCGGCTAACATAGTAACCTTACAGTAACGCACTGTACTATATCTTCACGGTTATTGATTCTTAAATGTCAGAAATTAAAAAAAAATTTAAATATTGCCAATAATGATGGGTTATATGATCACACTAAAAAGCATGCTGTAGGAAAAATGGTTAAGTCATTATGTAAGTTTCCTAAACATGAAAAAAAATGATGAGAACTTTATTAAGTATTTGACCATAGTTTAATCCAAAATGTTTTGTCTAGAAAACCACTTATTAATAGTAGTATTAAGCGTATCAAGCTACTAAACACATCTTCGACCGAAAACTTTTAGAAGTAGTTCATATGGTATATATGTATAGCCAGTCTACGTGAAAAATGTATATAGATATATAAGAAGTACAGCCAACATAGTTAATTAACCAGAAAAAGAAATTATAAAACTTGCCTGGGTTGCTTTTTGAATTCGTTGTATTTGCCAGTGTTAGTTGTATGAGTTTGATTAAAATCCGCAGCCATCGTTTCGGAATACCTAGCTTATGTGTCCAGTATTTAAAAAAAAATTAACATAACACTTATATATCAAAGGCAAAAGGTCTGGGGAGTTGTAGGTGAGGCGGAATGAGGAGAAAAGTTATTTTTAAGTAGATGAAGGGTCTGATTAGCTACGTGGTTAGATTTTATCCT